TCTACTCACTGTGTTTCGGACAGGTAGAAGGAGTCATTTCTAATATATAACACATACATTTTAACAACTATAAGCTGGGTTAGTCGTAAGCGAAAGAGGATGAGGCAAAGATGACATAAGATGAAATGCCCATAAAGTGTCTATTTATAGAATTTGCAGAAACGGTCTAGTGTCCGGAATACAGTGAGTCTACGTTATCTATGAACTGGTAATTGCACATACTTTGACAGTCGTCTATAGGTCACATTATTTGCCAGCTTCATTAGATTGTAGAGTCCATCTCTGTCCAAGTTTAAACTGTCCTGTGTATCATCAAAAGCCACCGTCAGGGACGCCTGGGTAACACGTGTTACCACGCCAGAGCCCAATTCAGATGGCTGACTCTGACCCTCTGACTGATACAAACCTATAATATCACCTATAAACAGAATACAAAAGAAAGCAAGTAATAATAGTAAATAATACTTGAGTTAGATAGTGAAGTCCCTGGCCAGAAGCTTCATTATTGTATTATATATATATTTTTGTACAGAATGTCTCACCAGGTCCAAAGGTATTGCTGGGAAGAACTGAGGGTCCAATACATTTCCTAGGTTCAAAAACTACTAGACGTCTGCCATACATGCCAGTATGTTGGCTTCCGATCTGAAGTTTCATCAGAAACACTCCTTTGTGCTGTAGATTCTTGGGAGATAAATTCTCCTGCCATGCTCTGACAACACAAACAATATATTATAGTTCACTGATATACTGAATGGCTAGATAAATACACGTTTAGGACAGTGAGGCGTGTGTTTTACCGTGTTTCTTCTAATTCAGCCTCTCTCTCTTCTTGCAGGAGCTCGAGGGTCTTGGAAACGAAGTTTTCAACCTCCATAGTTGTCAACTCGAAGGGTAACTAAAAGTATAAGCTTAACTTCTTACTCTGGTTATTTGAAACGTATCTATTAACCATTCAGAGGTTTATAATGTCAAAAAAAACAATTTAGCTAAGTGACACAACTGTGCGTATGAGGCTGTCATGTCTGTTTCATACTGTTTGTGTACGACACAACAGCGCATGCACTGGAATGGGTCCGTCTCTAAATTCAATCCCACTCCGCACAGAAGATCCAGGCAGTATATTTCCGTCACGAACAGAAATAGTCGCTAACTATTACAGCCTAGAACTATTAGAGAATTATATCAGGTATATAAATTAACTTTTATCACTTACATAAAATTATGAAATGCTCACATTTTATGACAAAATTGATGCGGAACTGATTTTTCACTTGAGGAGGAATATTCTTGTTGCACCGGTCATGCTTTGGGAGAACGATGGAATGTCAACGTTGAAGATCTACATCCAGTCCTATTTGTTTTGCCGTGGAATAGTGTACCTTCAGTGGGATATCTAGAAAGTCACTATATAGAGAATAATGGCTCGGGTGGTGAAAGGGTTTCGGACTATAAGAAATCACTGGAAAAAGTCCACATTTGCTGTGTGTGTGCTGTCATATGGAGGACACTGGTTGTATGGAAAGCACTGGTTTGTATAATCAGATATATGACTGCCCGTCTCTGTCTTTTATCTATATTAAATCCCTTTTCTCATTTGATGTATATATTATTATTATTTTTTAAATTCACAGTGACAGTGTGCTGCGACGAGAAGCATGTATAGAGGCCAGGGTAAGGGATATTTATTTTGAAAATAACTCCCACAATTTATTACTATAATAAGTTTAATACCCAGAACCTCAAGGTTCCCTACATTAAAATAATAATGTTTTAGCTTTTGTCAACTATAATAACTTTGATATCCAGATTCATAAAGTTCCCCACATTTAAATATATTGTATCTGATGGTTCAACAGGAATTTGGTCATCAGTCAATTGGACCTCAGGAACATCTGAAGAAAGCCACAGTCATTCTGAATCCTGCTGCCTGTAAAGGGTATGGTTATACTGATTTATTTCCCTCACTGTGTAATAAATCAGTTAAGTTTTTCAGGTTGTTTGTGTAATCGTAGTTACATTTTCTCTGCAGAAAAGCCAATACTTTGTTTGAGAAGAATGCAGCTCCCATTTTACACTTGGCTGGAATGGAGGTTAAAATTGTGAAGGTATCATCCTGTGCCCAGGTACTTTTTTTTTTACACATTTTTGTATACATTTTTGAACGGCAATCTGTTTTCTGTCATGTAACAGACTGATTATGAAGGCCAGGCGAAAAAGCTCATGGAGTTGATGGACCAAACTGATATGCTAATCATTGCTGGTGGTGATGGGACATTACAGGAGGTACAAAAGTATCTTCATAACGTGGTTTCTGACAACTTGAGCATATTTAATAAATGTTTTAGTGCATTGTATATGACCCATGTTTTCGTGCATTGTATTTCACACAGGTGATAACTGGCCTACTGCGCAGATCAGATGAGGTAGTCATTAGTAATACATTTGTTTTAAGACAAAGTTATATTTAAACATCCCCATGTTTTCTGAATTTGAACTACTGTAACCACAGGAGAACTTCAGTAAAATACCAATCGGTTTCATTCCTCTGGGTTCCAGTAACTCTCTAAGTCAGAGTTTGCATCTAGTTTCAGACAACAAAGTACAGTAAGTCTCATGACTTCACTTTTCAAAGAAAATGATTTGCCCTACGGTTTGTTGTGATCAAATTGTAATAAGATTTTCTGTTTTTTTTAGACACATAACCTCAGCAACCCTGTCAATACTGAAAGGAGAAACGGTTCCACTGGATGTTCTGCAAATAAAAGTGAATTTGACAGGCATTTTGAAAGAGAACCTCAGATTTGACAGCATCAACTATTTTAATTCCTTTACACTGAGTTGATTGTGTAATTGTCTTCTTAGGGTGAGAAGGAGCAGCCAGTGTTTGCTTTGTTAAGTTTACGTTGGGGTGCATTCAGAGACGTCGCTTCGTCTATTAGCAAGTATGCTTCTGCTTCATTTTTTATTCGCAACATAAATAAATACAAAATGTGAATTTGTATTTCTAACATGTTTTTTTGTTGTTGTTGTTGTCAAGATATTGGTACCTTGGCCCCTTGAAAACAAGAGCCGCACATTGGTTTAGTAGCCTTAAGGTGAGTGCTTCATTGACAGGGATCATATTTCATTTACATGTACATCATATATGAGGCCTATATATTAGTGAGTATTTGATTAATCAGATTATCTTCTCTCCGACAGGAGTGGCCACAGTGTCACCAGGCGTCCCTCTCTTATCTGGCTCCTGTACCTCGTCCACCTGACCTGCCCACTGAAATCCCACACAGGCCCAACCTCCTTTACCGCATCTACCGCAGACTCCACAACTACTGGAACCCTCCTATAGAAGGTATTTTATCATTTTTACAAATATATTTCTTTAAATAAAACATAGAATATGAATTAGGACTGAGCATTGACACAAATTTCACGATTTAGTTCGATTCGGATGCTTGCGATTCAATTTTGATTCATGATATATATCAGATGCAGTACATTACCATTTTTCTGAAGGAAAAACTAATCTCTTTCAACTAATGCTGTAAACTAGGGACATTGAAGGTTAAAATGAAAACAAACATTTAAATAACACATGAGGCAGTTTTTTTAAGCAATAAAGATTCATGAAAATGAGAGCCGTTACATGAATAATGTTACTTTGATGCTTTATGTCTCAATCCAGGGCAATTGTTGTGTGTCTGTTTATATCTAGTATTTAATTCTTGTTTAAATCCGTTTGTGTTGGTAGAGCCACCGGTAGAACCTGAGCCAGAGCAATGGGAGAGCAGAGACATTTCCACATTGGAGCTCTCAGTTAAAACACACAATAAGAACCCTGTGAAGAGAGTGAGTACTGACGTGACACTCGTTATTGGAATATTTTGTAAATCTAAATGTAAAATATCCTTAAGGTTTTATTCTGATTGGTATTGTCTACTGTCTTCAGCGTGTGGACGATTCTATGCTGATAACTCTGGACCCAGACTCCCTCACGGTTGGTCAGTTCATCACTGAGGGGTGAGTGTAAATCAGTCTATATTATAATATATTATAAATACAGCAATATTCCACAACTTTAAATTTACCATGAAATCAAAAAGCACAATTTTTAATAAATAATAGTACACTTTAAATAATATTTTTAAGATAAAAAGACAATTAAATAAAATAAATAGTTTTTGTTTGATAAAAATGTTATATTTTGTGTTGTATTTTAAATAATTATGTTTTCAATGTAATTTGCCCTCTGAACTTTTACAAGGTCTCATAAACCCCTAAAGAATAAATTGGGGACATGAATGAATATTGATTTATGTTATGCAGGACTAAGAAAGCAGTTAACCCAATGGAGTCCATAGAAAATAGTTTGCAGATAGAAGCCAGTGCTGTTTGTCTCAATCTCCCAGAGGTCAGTATGTTTTAAAAGTTTTTGGAACTGATTTCTTCATCTAAGCTTTGATATTGACTCATTCTCATCTATTGCTTTGTTCTCCTGTCCACAGGAGGGCGCCGGATTTTATGGCATTGACAATGAGGAATATGAGGCTATGTCTGTGGAAGTGAGACTGTTGCCACGGAAACTGAGGTTCTTTTGCAACGCTGAGCGCAGAGAGCAGCTTGCACAGGCTCAGTGATGACAGCGGCGTGTTAATGGTGGTTACGTAACAGATTATTTGAGACGTTTTCCTAAAACTACAAGACAGAAACTGGAAAACCGCGGAGTCAAATGAACTTTGTCATGAAGTCATCACACTCTAACAAGAACTTTTTGTGTTCTATAAAGAGTTAATTCACACAAAAAAATGAAAAACTCACCCTTGTGTTGTTCCAAACCCAGAAGACTTTGGTTCATCTTCAGACTGTAAATGTCTAGATAAGAGCCAAGAAATAAAGACATCATCAATCTCTTATTTTAAAGGCTTTTCCATGCATTTTTGATCATTTCCGTTGATAGTGTTTTGTTTTAAAATACCCTCAAATACTGTGCAGACAAAACGTGATAGAAAAGAACCGTTTATTTCAAAATGGCAGTGAATAAGAATCACTGGCTTTAAAACAACAGTCACATGCTGTTAGTTTGTATAACTGTATAGTAGGTAGTGTGTAAGACAGAGGCATTACACGAGTGCTTTGTGATACCAGTAGAGTAAAACTCAACATTCATTTAGCTTGTTATTATGACAAAGACTTGTGTAACACTTAGATAACGCACAAAAAGTATCTCACATACACAATACCAGACAATTCCACCTGTACAATTATCTTACATGGCTGCTTAATATACATTCTCCATTCATTTACAATCAGACACTAAATAACCAACCAACAGATTTATAATACAGGAGTTCTCAATTTCTCTGATAGATTAGAAATGTAAAAACTAAATTCACATTTAAGCAAATCTAGGTTATAAGCAACAGTATTATTGTTCATTTAAATATTTTATTTAACATCATTTAAAGAACTTTTGTCCATCCAACTGTTACAAACCTGAGTGCCTGCACTCGTTCCTAAGAAATCAATTGCGTTATTTTGTTAGCAAAACAAATTTAGGATAGTGACTTTAATCTGAACAGGTCAAGTAAATGCTTTTCCATTTATGTTTTCTTTTGAATTTCACCTATATGAATGCAGCTTTACAGATAATTTGACTAATTAATGATCCAGTTTGAATTTTCACAGGATTAACATATAAACACACACAAATCCACAAATGAATCGGCCTTGTGAGGCCAGTCCGCTGCTGTCATTCTGAAATTATCAACCCAAACATGATAAAATAAGAAACCCCAAATATATACAAATTCAAAAGTCTTTCACAAGTGATAATCATGAGCATTCACTGATGACAAAGACAGGAATAGGATCACATTCATTTCTTCAGAGCAAATCAACTGACTCAAAAAGCTGAATGTAACAATTTCTGTGTCATTTGCATCATATGTGCATCAGCCGGTGCATTAAACGTACAATTTACATTCAATACCAAGGGTGATAGTAATTAAAGGCCTGTATTCAGCATTAACAAACACACTTTATGCTCCATTTCATCAGTGTGTAAAACAGCATTGAAATGACATTTGGGGAGTGAAATCAGAATGACCGAGAATCTTCTACAGTGTCGTTAATTCATGACAAATGAATTCAAAACATGAATAATAACAAACTACAGTAGCAAAACTGATTGTGTCTCTTTGTTCATGCACAATAGATCACAACAAACACAATGACAGATGCCAGTTTTATCCAAAAAACGAAATGACTGGTTCACATGATTAAGTTAAAAAAAAAAAATGTGGCAGAGATTGTGAAAATCTTCACCATCACAGTAGTGTGTGATATGCAACAACCATAAAACCTTTAGAAATACAGATGTGACATTCAAAGCAAACTTTACCAAACCGTTGTTACCAGCAGGAAGTGAGAGTTGCTTTTCCGATTCTCTGGTGTCCAAGTGAAGCAGATTTATACCCACTGGGGACGTCACATCAGTTCCCCCAGACAGCACTGGCTAGAAGAACAAAGTCACAACTGAAGACCACAGATTGAAAAGCGGTAGAGAGAGGCACAGAGATCATGTTTTGCATGAAACAAGCTTAGGCAAGAGTCGAGAAGAAATCCAAGATGGCTGGAAGGATACGAAGCACACAGGCAGACAGACAGACAAGCAGAAAGACGTCACTGGATTGACTGGCCGCAAAGTGCACAAAAAGTCAGATTGCACCTTGTTGGTGTAGGCAGTATAAGTGTGGTCCAGAGGTGTCAGGAATGGCTCCTGAGATTGCCAAGCCAGAGAAAGAGAGAGAAGAGAAAGCAGGTAATCAGTAGGGAGTGGGTTGCAGCCCTAATAGAAAATGGGCTCCAGAGACAGAGTGTCTTACGGGCAGCAGGGGTTGTCGATAACCAGCATGACGTCGATGCCGTAGATTTCCAGCAGGTCGACGAGAAAGCCGCGGTCGGCCTGAGGATCCAGCCCCATGGCTCTCACGTGCTCAGCGGTCAGGGTAGGATCAGCGCTCGCCGCCAACTCAGACAGGGTCTGGAAGATTCTGTTGTTCTGTTCCATGAAGAATCTGGATCACAAACAGTGGCAAATTCTATACAGATTAATTACAGCAACATAAGTGTCATTTTTCCAGTGGCTTTCACAAGAAAACGGTAAAAAATTATGTCAGAACTGTGCTTCCACAGCTTTAGATTTATATTATATTAGAGTAGATACTCCAGAGATAGTTGCTTGGTGTATAAATAAGGCTTTTTCTATTCTAAATGCAAAGCATAACAATGCAATATACATGTGCAAATTTATATGGCATTTATATCAAATATACTAGCCTTTTTTTTTTTCAGAAAGATGCATTAAATTAATCAAAATGAACAGTTAAGATGTTTATAATGTTACAAAAGATTTCTATTTAATTGCTCTTCTTTTGGACTTTCATGGTTTTCTGCAAAATATTAGTTTTAGAAATTTATCCTGAGCACCAAATCAGCATATTAGACTGATTTCTGAAAATTCAGCTTTGCAATGAATTATATACATATTAATCTATATATGTATAAATACACACACATGCATGTATATTTAAGAAAAAAAAATATTATTTCTATGTAAAATATTTATATTTTTTATAGAATTTAAATTATATATAAATCTATATACAGTATATACATGGAAATATTTCTTAAATAAATAAAAAAATAATAATAATAAAAAAATAATTATACACAGTGCACCCACATATATTATGTAAACCAGTGTTTCCCAACCCTGTTCCTGGCGGCACACCAACACTGCGCGTATTCTTTGTCTCCCTTATCAAACACACCTAATTCAACTCATCAGGTCATAATCAGATGGGTTAATGAGCTGATGAGTTGAATCAGGTGTGTTTGATTAGGGAGACAAAGAATACGCGCAGTGTTGGTGTGCCGCCAGGAACAGGGTTGGGAAACACTGATGTAAGCACAAACTTTTATTTTGGATGCGATTAAGCGTTTGACAGGCCTAATATATATGAAGAGTTCAGATGCAAAAGCCTCTAAATGCCATTTGAAAATTTCTTCTTTAATGATGATTTTTATCAAACTTGTATATTTAAGTTCAGTAATTTCACTTAAATGGCAATGATAATTACCCATTAATTGTTATTTAAGTGAAATTACTGAACATAAATATACAAGTTTGATAAAAAAATCATCATTAAAGAAGAAAATTTCAAATGGCACTTAGAGGCTTTTGCATCTGAACTCTTCATATATATATATATATATATATATATATATATATATATATATTTATTTATTTATTTATTAAAATGGAAACAGTTATTATAAATTGCAATAATGTTACAATATTGAAGTTTTACTGAATTTTGGGGTCAAATAAATGCAGCCTTGGTGAGTAAATTTCTAGTTCTATGCTGTTTTTTTTTAAATAAGTCTTTGACTTAAAAATATAATTTTGGATTTGTATCATTTTTCAAGCAATATTATACACGTATGGTTTCATTAAGCTTAAAGCTATTTTCATAGAAAGTGTATTGAGTTGTTCCATTTCCAAACACTCTTTCCGTCTCACTAAAAACTGCTGATATGATAAACTGAGTTGTATAATTCCATCACGTACAAAATGAAGAGTTCTTCCTCATTAGATGTGCAGTCTCCATCCACCTCCTGAGAGTACAGCAGCATCTGCCTGTAACGATAGCAACATCATCATATGCCTGTGGAAATGTGTTTTTTTTTTCACCTCATATGCCTTTCAGATTTTAAAAGGCTGGTGGTACCTCTGCTCACAGAGCTTGCGATACTTCTCTCGGTCCGCACTGTTGAGTCTAAGCAGAGGCTGGAGGTTCTCTCTGTGCGTCTTTACATTCTGATTATCAATGTAGACATCATACAGCTCCTTCTTTTCCTCAAAGATCTTCTCTGTAGTACCTGAGAACCCAAATAAAAATGCAAAACAAATCAAAAATGCAACTCACTCCACTGATTTATTCTTACTAATACTACGTTACAGTACACTATTCTTTCTCAAATTTATCAACTAATACAGATGTTGGAGGAAAAGTTCAACCAAGAACTACACTCATTCTGAACTTAAAGGAGTAGTTCACTTTTCAAAAAACTTTTGCTGATAATTTACTCACCCCCATGTCATATCCAAGATGTCCATGTCTTTCTCTCTTCAGTTGAAAAGAAATTAAGGTTTTTGTTGAAAACATTCCAGCATTTTTCTCCATATAATGGACTTCAATGGGAACCAAACAGTTCAAGGTCCAAAAGACACTTTCAGTACAAACTGCAAACTGTTAAAAGGGCTTTAAACGATTCCAGACGGCGAATAAGGCTCTTATCAAGCGAAACGATCGCTCATTTAAAAAATAAATAACAAAGTTTACGTTTTTTAGCGCAAATGGTCGCCTTGCTCTGTACTGTGATGCACGTTCGTGACTCTCCTGTTCGAACTCATTCATCAAAATGAACAAATCTTTTTCCGAGTCAATACATTGTTGAATGAACCAAATGACTTGGAAAAAGATTTGTTCATTTTGATGAACGAGAAAGAATGACATGGACATCTTGGATGACATGAGGGTGAGTAAATTAGCAGCAAAAGTTTTGTCAAAAGTGAACTACTCCTTTAAATATTATTTAACATCTACTTTTTACAGAGTCTGTGGAATTATGAATTTTGCCAACTTCAGTCTTTCTCTTGACTGAGAGACTTACAGGCCACATAAGACAGCTCAGCCTCAAGAGCAGTGATGTCAGCAACGTTGATGTAAAAGAAGGGGCGGAACTCCGGAACAGTCAAGCCCATCCCAGGAATGGACACATTAGCAAGGCAGCAGCAACAGTATACTAATGGATGCAGAACAACATAGCAAAATAATTATGAGTTAAATGTGAAAACACCCAAATCATATAATAAAAGTTACAGATTAAAATAAATGCACAAATCAAAGATCACCAGGGTTCGCTTTAATCTAACCAAACATGGCAAGTGTGAACATACCCTTAATTTGTTATGAAAAATAAGTAGAAATGTAAGCCAGGTGTCAATGTGCATGTTAATGGGTTTCCTCTCTCACCTCGATAGCAGACCACACCGACAGGGGGAGGAGAGAAAATGAGGATGCGTTTCCTGAGCAAAGCAAACTTCCACAGCACCATGATCTGCTCTCCGAAGAAGCGGATGAACTGGGACATGCAGCCAGCCGGGTGTGTAATCTAATACAAGGTGTACAGAGAAAGTGACAAAATGTGTTGCTTCAGATTTCCTATTCAATGACTCCATATACAGACACACCACACATATTAAAAAAAGGTCCTTTAAGTTTATAAAAAAAATGACAATTTTTAGATCATAGAGAAAAGTAAGAATAAAAAAGTATTATTCATTGTCAGGGTATAGCAGCATTTATTTTTTGTTATGAAAATCATGTGATCTGTAAAGACTGTCCGTCACAACCTTATTTTCATCTGTTAAATTCAATATGACGTCTACCCTGACTAAGGTCTATTCAGACAATAATTAGGACCATTTAGCTGGCTTTTTAAATCTAGTATCATCTTTAAAATCCTCTGACAGGCTTGTCAGTGCATATAGCAATTTTTCAAAGTTCAATTTCAGTTTTCATATTTTAAAACTTTTATGTGTGTGTGTATATATATATATATATATATATACACACTGTGTGTATATATATATATATATATATATAATATTGTATATACTTTGTGTACTTTATGCTTGATGACATTACATTTTATTATTTACCAGCAATTTTATGTAACTATAAAAACCATAAACATTTAGAATGTGCATATTCAAGACTGAACAGGGGCTTATTCAATAAACAATATAACCAAATCTAGTCCTGAGCAAAAGTATAAATCAGCATATTTATCTCCTCATATGGAATTCTTCTTTAAAGGCACACTATGCACTCTCTGGTTTTTTTGTAAAACAGTGACCTCTAGAGCCGCTGTGGTGTACTTGCACTGTCGTAAATAACCGTTATTCCCCTGTTACTGCATATCTACTGAACTACTGTCAAGTGCTAGACTGCTTTTTAATAATAAAGTTGCCTATCGCGTTTGCTGGCTTATAGCGTTTTTACATGATTTCTGCAAAATCAGAAGTAAATAGCCTATAGTGTATAGGCTACTGTATAATTTAATTCATGTTTTTTGATTGTAATGTAAACATTACAAAATGTCAGATGACATCAATCAAGTTAAATGTACGTCGCATTATTTCATAACATTGGACGTTATGATTTAGACATGATTACAATTTATCATAATAGCAAATTGTGTTCAATTATTTACAACCTCTAGGCTTATATATGTCCTAATAATTATGTGAGATATTGACTATGTCCTCATGGTAATCGCAAGAATCAACATCAACAGCGTCAAGATTCGATTGATTCATAATCAACACAATTTGAAGTTACAGTCGGGAAGTGTACTGTTAGTCAGATAAACTTGATATAACAGTAACTTACACACGTCATAAGAAATCCGAACCAGACACAGGACTAAAGATACGTGATAAATACACATCACAACACCTGAGTTCAGCTGGCAAACTAGCTCTTGTGGCAAGCTCGGCAATAAAACATAACGGAAAAAACAACAAGACTAAGAGAAACGACTGTTTTTAGGAAGTCTGCTTAAAGCTCTGGTAATCGAAAGCTAGACATATGTGAGAATTATTGAACTGGTCTAATTATCAACAACGGATGAATGAACAGCACCGTAAAAAATTACATACCACAAGCCAGTGCAGCAACATACAATATAGAGACAAGTATACAAATACAAACAAGTTTATAAATAAGAGATTTACTTACAAGTCCATCAACAAGATCGCCAGGTCAGCATCGCAGTTACAATCCAGTGCAGCTTTTAAGCTCGCGCCAACGAGTGAAAGCCCGACCGAGTGGACTCTTGTCCGGTTTCTATTCTAGCACGGTCCGATTCTCTTTCCCTTTTTCGAAAGTAGCTTCATACAGTATGATGTTGTTGATGCGTGTGACGTTGTTGCCGTAAACCATTTCGTGATTCTCACGCGCTGTGTCAGGGGCGCCACTCTCAAACTTGCATGGCTGGTTTTTCCGGCGGCGTCCCCCCCAAGCTTTCCTACCAGGATGATTCGCCCTACTATGACTTTGTTAACCACCAAAACGACTTTGAAGCTGTTATATTAAGGTACAGATCTTGCATAGAGTGCCTTTTTGCCAATAGAGGATCTTGTGGTTTTTACACAGGCTCACAATAGTTCTTTTTTTTTTACTCCACGAAACTGAACTCTCCCATGCTTGTGCTGCTGTCAGGATGTGCAGAAGTAATGCACTCTGATTAATCAGTAACATGAAATTCCCTGAGTGGCCTGACCTAGATTTCTTTAGAAACTAAAAAATAACTTCAAAAAAAAAAAATTTAATTATCTAAAGCTACCATCATAAAAAAAATATTTTAATGAAGAGATCTTTAAAAAAGCAGAAGCTTTAATTTGTGGCAGACAATATTGGGTTATATCTTCAAACCTTCATCTCTGGGTGCATGCAGCGGTTGACTATGGGTCCAAGAGCGCTGGTCGGGCAGGCTGTGACCAAACCGTTCCCTCCTGGGGGCAATACTGCCTTTTTATCCTCGTAGAAAGCTTCCAGTGGAGAGTACTGGCCTGGACACTGCAACTGGTGCCTGTAAGAATGCATTTGCAGAATTAAAGCTAGGCAATGTTTTTAAATGTTCATGTTCATAAACCAATTCAGTCATATCTGACTCTTGGTGATTTTATGGGCCATCTCTTGCCATACACAATTTAATAAGTCATTAAAACAATAATAATGGTTATTGTTTTTGTTTTAAGACCCTTATTCATGATCTGGAATCGTTTAAAGCCCTTTGAACAGTTTGCAGTTTGCACTGAAACTGTCTTTTGGACCTTGAACCGTGTGGTTACCAGTAAAGTGTATTATATGGAGAAAAATCCTGGAATGTTTTCATCAAAAACCTTAATTTCTTTTCGACTGAAGAAAGAAAGACATGGACATCTTGGATGACATGGGAGTGAGTAAATGATCAGCAAAAGTTTTTTTTAAATGAACTACTCCTTTAATAGCTTTTCATTAAACTCAGAATCCCCTTCAATTCGATTATGAACCCCAGTCTGGGAAAACCTGACATAATGTGATATTTAATGCACTTCATGTTGTTGATAACAAAAAATAGAATACATTTTCTTTATCTTTATATTAATATGGTACAAGATAATTCTTCTCAAATCAATGTGATAAACAAAGTTAGGTCAAAAGTAATCTAAAAGTAGTCAGATTACATTATCTTAAATATGTTATGTAATGGATTACGGTACTAACTACAATTTTGGTAATGTAATTTGGAATCAGTAACCGACTATATTTTGTAAGTAACCTACTCAGCACTGCACTCACACCTACAGAAAATTCGCCTATACTGCATGATGTTTTTGGATTGTGGGGGAAACTGAAGAGCCCAGAGGAAACCCACGCACACACAGGACAGGAAGAACATGCAAACTCCAAACAAAAAGGCCTTTTGGCTCAGTCGGGACTCAAACAGGGGACCTCCATGCTGTGAGGCGACAGAGCTACCCTGAGCCACTGTGCCGCCCTCAGCAATTAATAATAGAAAATATTACATACATCTTATATGGAAGACTCAGGACCAAAAAATCTGAATGCAATGACAGGATGTCCTACCTGTCAACCTATGTATTTGCATACCTTCATGCTGATATCACTTCACCATCACATCCAACTCAGAGCTTATGTTTAATGCATAACAACTTCTTAAAATAGTAATGATGCGTGCAAAAGAGTAAGAGGAGGAAACATAACAAGATTAAACATAATGCAAGAATACACTCACCGGACTTGGTTTTCCAGGAAGTGCATGTAACGGTATAGCAGTGTGTAAGAAGGAGACAAAATCCCTACAGATTTCATCCGAGCTCCTCGTTCCAGCTCACTTTCCACAGGCATGTTGGCAAAGCACGCTAGACCAAAGTAACAGCCTTTACGGAAATATCTACAAAAAGAGACAAGCTCATTTAACATACGCGGCTATGTACCTGTTTCAATGCAAGTATGAAAATACTACTGATCAAACAGTTTGCCTCATGATTACAAATTATCTTGATAATAATTTAATAAAGCAAAATAATTGGTCAAATTTTGGGTAACAGGATGAGAGAGAACAACAACACAAAATTCACTTTTTATGGTCAATATTTGGATTCAAAACATGTATTTACTATTTAATTTCTAGACTGTTGGTTAAAATGTAACATGAATAAAAAATAGATACCATAAAGGATTTTATAATTGTGAGGTTCAGGACACTAGATATGAAAGAGAAATTGCACGACTAAATTTAATCAGAATTTCATGTATTTCAGTAAAAAAAATATACAGTATTGTGCAGCTTATACAAATTTTATTGTTAAATCAAATGTTTATTATAGAAAGGTAGTTTTGCAGTTATTAGTTATGCGTTATGTATGAAAAGTTTAAAAATGTTTCAATTGCCCTCGGCCCCTTATAAATACAATGAGATTTAAGAAAGAGATTCCTACATGAAGTCACTTGAGATCCGATGAGAGCCACTGGCCATTGACTTGAACTCTACTCCCTCCAGATTCACATCTTGAGGTAGGCACCATTCTATCATGTTCCCTGTAAAAGACACAATGTGGGCCTATGTAAACAACTGTGAAGCTGTTGGACTAGGTTTTAGTCAAATAGTGTTTGCAGAAGAACACAAAAACTCTCCAAATTCCTTTCTCCGCAAAACTTAGAAGCAAAAGAGGAAGTTGGATAAGAACAGTACAGTAGTCTGCCGGATGACTTATACAACTTTCACTTCATATTCTATTCATTTTCTTACTAGTGATAACACAAATTCTCCCATATGGGAAAAAAGTTTTCAGTGTCTGAATGATAAGCTATTTTGATATGTTTTGTCTATCTTACAGTAAAAAAAAATAAGTGGTGTAAAGGTTTGGAGGCTGCAATAAAGAAAAAATAATCTCATAAAAGTCTGACTTTTGGGGGGGGGGGGGTAGTTCAGCATAATCTTTCATTATTATTAAAGAACAAACAGCAGTGACAAAAAAGAATAATATAATACAAATATATTCTTTATATTAAAACTTTCAGACAAACTGACAATATTATTTTATGCAGAATAGTTATTTTTCTTAAATTAAAATTATATTTGTTTTTTTTTTAAATTGCAGTATACATTCCTAAGTACTTTTTTTTTTAATAAAAACAAGATATTTTAAAGATGTATCATCATCATCATCTCGGACATTCTTATTTGTGATTGCCACAAATAATTTTCTCCTTTTTTTTTCTCTCTTAGTCAGTTTTTTTTTTTTTTACAGTACCGGTATTTATTGATTAACCTCACCCGATCTGGTGTCGAAAGTCACAACAAACACGGCAACAATCTGATCTTTTTCCTCCCATCCAGACCCAGTGATCCTCCGATCCCTGACCGACAGCCCATGAAAGGCGCAGTCTCCCTCTTCATCGGTGGCAGAAGCATCTCCTCCCGGGCCGCTGTGTTTATAGGGAGAGTGTGCACTTTCACCTGGAACAGCTGTTACACTATTCGGTCTCGCTGGGCTTCTGTTTAGTGAGATATCTACCCCTACAATGCCCTCGGTCGGGTAACTCGATAGACCGGATTGTGTTGAATCCCCAGTCTCCGGTGATGGAACCGATGGGGCAAGTTCGGCCGGGGGAACCTCCTCCCAGTCCAGCAGCGGGGCGCGATCCGACTGCTCGACCATGATAGCGTTTTTCGATATTGACTATAGAAGAAATAAACAACGTCGTCGCACTGAGTATAGAGCGGTCAGTCGGAGAGACCAACGCCACCCAAGAAACGGAACATAGCGCTTGTAATACAAACGATCCTTAAATGTAGTAATACAGACAGGGTAACAGACGCTACCCAGGCGTACACTGTTTTGATGACGTCACACACTTCCGCTCACGTGGTACAAAAGGGTTCTCGTTATCAACCTCGTCCTCCCACCCGAAAAATAAATACACCAAATGATGTTGTCTGTGTGCGCAGTCCCCTAAAATAAATATATTGACGACTTCTAACGACCATAAGCTATCCTTGATAGTCAGAAATTATGTTTTGGAAACCACACACATTTAACCTTTGAAAATGTTTTCTATAAATAATGCTTTCTGATATTTAAGTAACTAAATACTTGTGATTAGGTTAACGTTACTTATTTTGATTCATTTCACACACAAACCGTCACGTCGTCGCCGTCCTATTTGGATCATAACAAATCTTTTCGGAGAACAGATAACGTTACAACAGATTCGAGTTTGTTCATGTGTAAAGTGGCGATCGATTCAAGTCAAACACACCTACTGAATGAATCTAAACGCTTGATATACTAGTTAGCAGAGTTAATTAATGGTCGGGTCACTGTCACTCCGCCCATAGTTAAAAGGACCTCGTTAACTTTGACGCGCCAGGTTCAAGCGTGGTCACCCGTGAGCTCATTTCAGGGTAAGTTGGAACTGCAAATATGTTCAAAACTGCACACAATTGAAGCGATATTATGGGAAAGATGAATCTGTATGTAGCTCTACTCACAATAAAACATATTTTGAGGCCTAGCGAGACTGCTCTCATAGCATCAAATAACATGATGTTTGTCAGTCATCTTTTTACCTCAAATATATATTGTGTAAACAACTTCAGCAGATCTCAATTGCTATAATTAACTTTAATAAGCCCATATACACCATATAAGTTGTTTTATTGGCCATTTGTCAACCACTAATTTACAGAATGGTTAGTTGCCATTCTAAAACCCTTTAGAATAAATCTGTTTCTGTTTCTTCTGGATTCTAGTGGTCTGAAATGGCCTCTGTGAATGCAGCACAGCAGCACTTGAACTTCTCCAGCAGTGGGGAGGAGGACAGCAGTGACAATAGCTTTGATGAATGGGCACACAGAAGTATTTCGATCAGAAGCCCCTGTCAGACGCCCCGGATACAGCGCCACCGCACCAGGAGCATTACTGTTTCTCCTTCCATCCCTACTTCTCCCATACCATATGCTGCCTGGAAAAAACTCCGGCTTTGCGACTCGCCCAGTACACCAAAGGTAGTCTTCCAGCTCAACCGTTTCATGTGTACATTAATACAATGACGGAGTACTTTATACTTTTGTATGAGCAATACATACAGTTGACCCTATATAGACTTATATTTACATCATCTAACTTCCTCCACTTACAGAGTTTGCTGTCTAAGTCGACCCTCCCTTGCTCTAGCAGCAAGCCGTGTCGCAGTCAAAGATTCCTTCGTCTGCCTAGTGCTTTTGACCATGTGCCCTCAGTGAACGTTAACCCTTTCACACCAGATACGGTGCGCAGGAACAGTGTACACCACAAGAGGAAGAGCCAAAGGAGTGATGAATATGAGGATGATGCACAAAGGTAACACAGCCCTTGCATGTAAGCAATGCCCCTTGAGGAACTGGATTTACATTGAAGCTTTTATTTCAACAGATCTATGGACACTCACAACTCATCAGAGGATGAAAGTTTCTTCCTCCCCTCAAAGGTACAGTTTCAAAGACCATAGTACATCCTCGTTTTTCATGTTTTAGGTTTATAATGCTTCATAATCCTGCCGGAAGCTTTGGTAAATCTGCGTTCTCTCACATGGTCTCCCATCTGTTGGCCTTCAGAGGCCAGCAGTGTCATCCCGCATGCTGTCACGTTACGAGAGTGAGTTTCTAGAGCTGGGCTGCATCGGCGGGGGCGAGTTTGGTTCTGTGTATCGCTGTGTGAAGAGGCTGGATGGTTGCATGTACGCCATCAAGCGCTCGCGCAGGCCAATCGCAGGCTCTGCCAATGAGTGAGTCAGCATTGCCACAGTGCTTAATCATCTTCTTTTTCAAAATGGACCCTTTTAACATTTCTGGGGTTCTCCGAAGTAGAAGTCATCACACCGTAGTTGGGTGAACTTCGAATGGTGACCTGGAGATGACAGAAAATATAATTTGTGTGTTCCCATTTGCTCCAATGAAAAAATTAAAAAACATGTTGGTGTTTCCATGACTTTGCAAAAAAGAGAGGAAAAAAATACTTTTTTGGCATCAATGGTCCCATGAAGAACATCCATAACATCCATAGAACCTTTCCATTGCTTGAAAGGTTCTTTAAAGTGGAAAAAGGTTCTTCACATTTATTTTTTTTAAGGAACTGAAGGGTTCTCTGGGGAACCGTGTCATCATAGTCTGTGAAAAGGGTCCATTTTAAAACCTCCTATTTGTATCCATAAACTTAAATGTCCTAACTGAATTAAGGCCTCATCCTTGTTTAATCTAAGCCCTGTGTGTAGTACGGTTAAGATTTTTGTGATTCCTTGATGAATCTTATACCTTAATGTAAAACAAGTTCCTTTTTTTTTTTTTTCTCAGACAGTTGGCCTTAAAGGAAGTGTATGCCCATGCGGTGTTGGGCCATCACCCTCATGTTGTCCGATACTACTCTGCATGGGCTGAAGATGACCACATGGTTATACAAAATGAATACTGTGACGGTAGGACAGAAGATCACAATATAAACATACTGTAGATGGGTATATGTTTGTGTATTCTTGGGACTTTTTTTGGAGAACTAACTGTCAATGTTTTTTTTTTTTTTTTTGGTCTTGTAGGTGGTAGCCTCCATGATGCTATAACTGAAAAAGAGGAGCAAGGGGAGTATTTCAGAGTTTCTGAGCTAAGGGATCTGCTCCTACAGGTCTCCATGGGGCTCAAATACATCCACAACTCAGGCCTAGTGCACCTCGACATCAAACCCAGTGAGCTCTGTGTCTCTTTCATTGTTATTCACATGCCTTTACCGCTTAATGAGAAATTTGACTTTTTGACTGGTACAAGCTTAAAATTTCATCCTTTCCAGGTAATATTTTCATCTGCCGTCGACCAAGCTCGAGTGCTGGTGGAGAGGGAGATAGTGAAGAAGAGGATGAAAGCCCCTCCTCTGGGGTTGTATATAAAATTGGTATCATCTTAAAGTGTTTTCATTATTATTATTACACATTCATGTATTTAGTGATCCGGAAGGTTAATCTATCACGGATGGATCTCTAAATTTCCCTAATAATAGTATAAAATAAATGTACTTTTATATATATATATATATTAGTTCACAAAAATGAACAAATCTTATTTTGAAATGACTCTGAAAAAAGATTTGTTCGTTTTGATGAACGAGTTCGAACAGGAGAGTCACGAACGCGCATCACAGAACATAGCAAGGCGAGCATTTGTAAATTATCAGCAAAAGGGTTTTTTTTTTTTTTAAGTTAACTAATCTTTTAACAGAGCTGTTTTTGAGGTAAAAAGGATGTTGATTTACACAACAATTGAGGAAAGTATGTTTAAACTTTACACGAAGACCCTAAAAAAAAAGTACCAACTTGTGGAAAATGAGCATCTGATGACCCCTTTAAACTAGTCCTAGGAAAGTTCTTCAGCAACAAGCTGCCTTTTGGTAAAGTCTGTCCAGCTGTCCATACGGCATACATATTTACCTGCTGAGGCTTATCCATGTTGTGCACACAAATAAGTCTCTGACACAGTCAAACCAAGCCATGTTTTGACATTTCTATATCATTAATAGCTGATATCATGGGCCCCTTGTTCTTTAGGTGACTTGGGTCATGTAACATCCATCTCAAGCCCTCAGGTAGAGGAAGGGGATAGCCGTTTCCTGGCCTATGAGATCCTGCGAGAGGTACAATATCTGTTTGAGCTTTCTCAGGGTGTTTAGTTTGTTGCAGAGGTTAAACTACACTGTACCGATCTTATAAACAATGCCTGACATTACAATATAATTGTGGATGTGACCCACTGTTGCTGTTTTAACAGGACTACACGCATCTTCCTAAAGCAGATATTTTTGCGCTGGGCCTGACGGTGTTATTAGCTGCTGGAGCTCCGCCACTTCCTCAGAATGGAGACACATGGCATAGCCTCAGACAGGGTGAGATGCCCAGCCTGCCCCAGGAGTTACCAGCACCCTTTAAAGACCTTTTAAAGGTAATTTGAGTAAGCACATCTGAGGTATTCATTGCATTACCTGTAATGGTTTCAACAATGCAGGTTAAGTTTTCCAAAATTACCAGTTTCCTACTTCCACGACCTCAGAGACTGCATGGATGATTCCATTGTAAACAATAACAAAACTTCAAAACCACCAGCATATTCATGAGACTTCTTCAGAATGGGAGAGAACTGAACTGAAACTAAAAGTATCAGCATTCAGGGGGGTATAATTCCAATTAAATTACCATGGTGTGTATTCTCGTATTCAATTAGTCATGGGTGGTTTAAAAAAAAAAAAAACATGTACTTTTATTCCACCAGCAGAGGGCATATAGACCAACTACTAGACTATCATAAAATGCTGAGCAATGGAGTACTAGTTTTGGTTCAGTCACCTGCAATTCTGAAGAATTATCATAAATGTGCTGGTGGCTTTGAAGTTTTGTTTACCATGGATTCATATTTTCAGTCTCTGAGGTCAAAATTAAAAACCTAATATGGACAATACATTTGTTTTTGATAGACCATGTTAGATCCTGATCCTACTACAAGGCCATCTGCATCTGCGTTGTGTCGGCATGATGCACTGCACAAGGAGAGAGCTGGCAAACTGGCCGCACAGCTTCGCAAGGAGCTAAATGTGGAGAAGTTCAGAACGGCTATGCTGGAAAGGTGAGTAATCTGGCATATACTATGCTCTAGTACTTCATAAGGAAGCACTACTTGTTTACTTCCTTGAAATAATCACTTATGCTGAGATATTTATTGCAATACCTTCTATTTCTACTTAGAGAACTCAAGGAAGCCCGACTGGCTGCTACCTCACCCCAGCCGTCATCACAACCAGGGTCTCTTCCGAGAACTGGGCGGAAGCTTGTGGGAAGAAATGTAGCCCGGTCTATGAGCTTTGGTTTTCCTGGATACTAGCACTGAATCACGTACTGTTTCAACATGCCCACAAACTCTATATGTGGAATGCAACAGTCAGACGCGTTTGCATTACTCGGCATGTCATCGTAAAATTCACTTCAGATCTTGTTATTGTCTTTGCCAGTTGACTCAAAGACGAACACTGCCACTGTGGTGCATGAATCGGCACATATTTAAGGTTTGCTGTTGAATGGCAAATTTATCTTGTCAAATAACCATTTCATTTTAATTGTAAATAAAGTTTTTAAATGTTTTTTTTTTCTGAGTGATGCTGATTGATGTACTTTCAATTCTATATGCTGTGGTTGATTCAGCAACATCACACTTCACAAGAAACAATTAAATGTCCACCAGGTATGCATTTTAGTAAGACTTGGTTGAGCCTCCTAGAAGAGATGTCCTAGTACAGAGGTTCTCAAAAAGGGGGCACCAGTATGTCATTAAATGTGTTATATTATCATATTTAAAAGATGTACCACTTAAATCTGACATAATTGTGTTTATTACAAGGAGGTGTTTGAATATTGTCTGTCTCGTTTTAGTCCAATGTGCACGTGGTGTACTAACAACAAATTTGTCAGCCAACTCCTCAGAATTCCTTATCTGACACGTGCAGACTAGCAGAAGGGGAATTTCGTTTCCAAAAACCCCTAAAGTGCAGGTCGGGTCTTTCAAGAGACTTTAAAGTCTGTTTATCTTTGCCTTCTCGGCGATTATGTAAAAAAAAAAACTATTTTAATGCCTTAACTTAACAAACAGCGAGAATTAAAATCTAACATGTTTTCAGACGCTACACACACACACTTGACTACTGCTGGAAATTCCGTAGACATTGGCCACGCCCTCGCACGTGACGCCGCGTCTCTGATATACACGAATCACGATCAAGACGGCTTGTAGATTTTCATTTCTCAGCCTTTTTTGAGTTTGTTTGTTTGTCGGAGATGATGCTTCATCGTCCGGTATTTTGAATAATAGTTTACGTAAGTAACGAATGTTTATTTTTTGACTCAAAAATGAAATACGCTCGACACGATTTTGAACATTTGCGTCAAAGAATATTTTTAATAGTGTAAAATTGGTAACTTACTTTTGCCAATTTCGTAGCCTTTTCATGGTTTGTGTCGACAATGTCATGACACTTTATGCAGTTTCTTTAAATATAAACATCCATTCACATGTCTAACGTTAAGTTACCTAAACAAATATTTCACGCTTCCCTTAGATTCAACTTTCGTGCACGTGATATTAATGTTCAGAAATGTGCTGTATATGGCTGGTGTTTTTATTTTTAACTGCATTAACGTTAATCATTGAGCTTTTGTGTGGTCTTTTTAGAGATGAATTTCGACTTCAGTCTGTCTTTGTTTTGATATGAAAATCATTTCTTCCGAAACTGTTCTTCGGGGCAAAATGGGAGAATCAGCCAAACGCAATGTTTACAATTAAATTTGCATACTAAACTTCAGTAATACGACTTACAAAATTGGCTAATTTCAATAATAGACCGATTAACAAGTTAGTTAGCTAGCCGCTAACTGTTCCTATTTTCAGCAGCTTACTTGGTTAACTAAATCTAATCATCTTATTATAAGCCAACCGTCGTCACATCCACGAACTAACGTTACAAGTTTGCGTTTATTTAGATTTTACATATATATTTTGTATACAGTTATATAATAATTTATATTACACAGGTGTTCATGTAGCTTAAAGAGTGGAGCATAGCATTATCAACGCTAAGGTCATGGGTTAGATTCCCTGGGAATGCATGATAAAATGCATCAACCTTGAATGTAATAGCTTTAGGTAAGAGTCTGTCATACACACTTTGTAAAACTTCATCTCTGTTATTTACTTTATTTTTATATTCTTTAACAAATGTGCATGTCAGGTTTAGTTCACTTCTGGGTACAATTTTTTTTCCCCCCTAGACCATTTATAAATGTTAAAATATTAAATACATTTAAATATATTTATCAGGCTGTATAGTCTTAAATCATTTCCGTGTCTTGTTTTTGTCAAGATAATGAAACTAACTGCTTTTGTGTTTCCTTTTAATTGCAGAGCACCTGTATGAGGCATAGTTTGTGCAATGGACCGCAACACAAACATTGACAATTTTCCGCACTGTTCCCTGCTGCTCCTTTCCTTTTTTGAGCAAAAAGGATGCCAAAATAGTGAGCTTAAAAGAGAATATAATGATTTGGGTCTTCTTTCCGATCACATTTATCTTGAAAGTGATGGCGATTTACAAACTGATGGACATAGTTCCTTGGCCACCTACAAAGATCTTTTACATGAACTTCAGAATCAAGTTCAGCCTCATCTGCCAGGTATTTGTTATATCATATTTGTACTGTTCTGATTGCCTTAATTGATACCAGTAAGCCGATGATTATTAACTATGGAAGCTTGTTTGCACCATGAAAAAAACAAAACAAAAGGAAATTGCGACTTACAATTTTGACTTTTTTTCTTGCAATTGCAAGTTTATACCTCTTTAGCTCACAATTCTAACTTTTTTTCTCACAATATCAAGTTTACATTCCTCAAGATTTTTCTCTTTCGGAATTGCAAGTTATTACACAATTCTGATTTTATAACTCGGAATTGTGAATGATGAAAAAGTCAGTATTTATGAGATTCTGACTTTTTGCAGTTGCAAGTTTAAATCTTACGATTCTGAAAAAAAAAAGTCAGAATTGCGAGACTCGGGATCATGAGGAGAAAGTTATTAAGTTTTTATTTTTTATTCAGTGGTAGGAACGACTTTATAAAGATAACTGATAAATGGACAATATTTTATCTGATGAAAATATAACACAACAATGTTTTTCTCAAATCATGATGTTTGTTAATATGTAATATTCTGAGGTGGGACCTCCATTAGAGAAAAGTAGGCTACTTCAATTAATAGTGCCTCATCTTTGCCATAATCTGGTTAAATTACAGCTATTTGATATCAGAAATTGTCAAATATACAAATTGGAAAATAATTAAATATGCAAATTTGACTGATACTAATTTTTAGTTATATTAAAACTACTGTAGAGTTTTTATTTGTAGTATATATGTATGTATAGTACATTTACACATTATAGACAATTGTAAGTCAACATTGTGAACATGGGAGTGATCCGTTCACAACAGTTCACATTATAGACAATTGTAAGTCGCTTTTGGATAAAAGTGTCAGCTAAATGAATAAATGTAAATAGTTTTTGCTGTTGTCCATGTCAGTTAAAGGGTTAGTTCACCCAAAACTAACCAAAACGTTTGTTCTGCTGAACACAAAGGAAGATATTTGGAAGAATGTTTTAATCAAACAGATCTCATTCCGTATCAATGGAAGTTTAAACAGTCTTCTGAATATCTTCCTTTGTGTTCAGCAGAACAAATAAACACATAGAGGTTTGGAACAACATGAGGGAATTTTCATTTTTGGGTGAACTAACCCTTTAACACGGCTCTTATGTATCTCCATCTCAGCTGATGCTGAACAGGCTCAGGCAGCAAGGGAAATGGCTGCAGAGCTGATCAGAATTGCAGACCTTCTTGAGCAGAGAGTCCTGTTCCAAGCCGCTGAAACTTTGACCAAGAAACTGGACAAGTGTGAGACTCGGGTAAGATGAATTATTCTAAGCAGTTTATTTATTCTAAAATGGTTCCTCCTTAACCCATTAGTATCATTTACCACTCATATCTCTCAATTTTCTTTAAACATTTGCAGTTATGGTCCAGACATCTATCTGATGGAGTGCAGGGCTTACTTCACCATGTGACCGGAGCCAAAGAGTTTAAGAAGGAACTTGTCGAGATGGCCTTGACTTTTGTGCTCATGAAGACTGTGTGTGAGCGTGTGCCCTGCTTTTTGTCCAGCCTTTATAGCGCTGTAGTACAGTATTTCGGACCTCGCTGATCCCTGGTGAGATCTGTGTACCAGTTATATATTTGTAAGGGATGTAATGTGAATATTTTTGTATAAATAAAAGACAAATATGACTTCGAGATAAATAAAGAGAAATATGTATTATTCATTTTTTTTAAACCATTGTTACAAGTTTACCTTTTTCTTTTCTTTATTACTGTTTTAATACTGTTTGAAACAAGTAATTTTATTTTTGCATTTTGGTCATGTTAGGTTTTACGATTATGCATTAGACTGTTTCTTTACCTGCCATGGAAACATTTTCCAGAAAATTGTATATTAAACCATATAACCAGAAAAATGTGCATCATTCATATCTCCTCTGCTAACTTTGTTTAAAAATGTATTGTCACTCATCTTGTACGGGATATCATGTGATCTCCCATTAATTTCATGTACAAGCCTGAGTCGCATCAGTACAAAAGAGGAACCAAAACTTAGTTTCTTCTTAATTAAAATAACAAAAAAAGACTTGAAGGGTTAGTTCACCCAAAAATAAAAATTCTGTCAGTATTTACTCACCCTCATGTTGTTCCAACCCCATAAGACCTTCGTTCATCTTTGGAACACAAATTAAGATATTTAAGATATTAAGATCGCTCCTGCATACAGTCCGTAGGCTTCTTGAGGGACTGGCTCTTGCTGTCCCCGAAAAGTCATTAAAGACATCGTTAAAATAGTCCAAGTGACTACAGGGGCTCAATCTTAAGTTTATCAAACGACGAGAACACTTTTGTGCGCAAAAAAACAACAAAAATAACGACTTTATTTCAACTATTCACTTCCTTCTCAATGGGCCTGTAGTCAGTTAACGTAGTGTGATTGCGTAGAGCTACGTCACACGTAGGCTCACTATTGGCCGACGCTGGTCATGTGTGTGTGATGCGTGTGACGTACAATAACAGAAGCTTACGTTATTAAACTCGTAACTAGCAAACTAGCAAGAGCCAGTCCCTCAAGAAGCCTACGGACTGTATGCAGGAGCGATCTTAATATCTTAATTTGTGCTCCGAAGATGAACGAAGGTCTTACGGGGTTGGAACAACATGAGGGTGAGTAAATACTGACAGAATTTTCATTTTTGGGTGAACTAACCCTTTAAGGCAGTGTTTCATGAAAAATTCTTCTTAAATTAGGCCACAAAACACCAGATTCACCCTTGATTGAAGTTTTATTTCACAGCTTTTGTCCATCTATGCAAAAACCTCACTTGCAGAAAAAAATAGCACTGTTTTCTCTGACATGAGGATGCCAACCTCTGACACAACAGGTGGTCCCTGCATGTAGATTTAACTTCTGCTTATGGTTTTATATTGTTTTGA